TCACACCTCCAAGGATGGCTCAGGAGGCAGCACACCCTGTCCTGCCACAGCCACGCAGCCTGTCCTTCCCCTGTTCCCAGACCCACACCCCAGCACCGCACCAGCACTGCAGACCCCAGTGGCACCCGGCCCTCGCTGAGAGGCAGCACAGTGCAAGAGCCATCGCACAAGTCTCACGCTCACTGCTCAGGGCTCTGACAGACTTCACTGCAGGATGCTGCTCACCAGACCTGCCTGCCCCACTTCTGGCACAGCTCCTGCCCTGCAGCAGCACCTGTGTCTCAAAGATGTGTCCCTAAAATACTGCATTCTGCTTATATGAGCCCTGGGTTGTCACGCAGGCAGGAGACCAAGCAGATAGCCCAGAGCAGTAGCATCTTAAACTGCCCACATGCAGGTTAACCCACCAGAACTCTTCAGTCCCTTTAGACTTGTTAGGTCTGAATAGGGTTCATTAATGGTATTTCTCACTTTAGAAGGCACGGATAAAAAGATCTGGGAATAAGATCTGGCTATAAGGAAAGACATGACATGGTTACTGCAGAGGACACTATTTCAAAGTTCAGGTTAAATACATTATTCACCAAGGTAAGAAATAAAAGGAAACCAGCATTATGCAAAACGAGCAAAAATGTTAAATCCCTTTACCCCAAGCACTGTTCAATGAGAGTAGCAAAAGTTCAAGTTTACAATTAAGAGTCACCAGTCTAGCTGACAGAAAACTAGATTTATGGGAGAGACCAGCTGGACTGCAACCCCAGTTACAGTTACCTTAATTGCTTTTCTCCAGAGGAAAGTTTTCCTTACAAGTTGCCCACCTTTAGGAATTGCTGAGCCCACTGTACAGGCTTAAAAGGCAGCAGCAAGAGGGATATCTTCTTCCACATGACACTTGGAAGGAAAATACTGAACAAATTGAATGGGTTTGAGAGGTGGGTCCCCTGCAAGTATTGTCCCATATCACAAGTATATTTCCCTTTGGCTCTGTCAGGACCAAAATTACAACGATGAATATAATTTTAAAAATGGTACTCTGAGTTTTAATTTGCATTTGTGTGCACATTTGTATGTACAATGCAAGCACATACAACTTGCATTTTCATTATACTTGTGTAAATCACGTATACATAAATTAAATTATATTACATATATACTATGTGCATTTATTTATATAAAGTAGTCCTCCATATTACTAAGTAGAATTTTAACAAAACATTAACTTTCAAAATGCAATTCAGTTATACTTTCTAATTTATGTTTGTACTGCAGCAGATCTGTAAGCTTTTCCTGTGGACATGCAGTGTTCATATCAAAAACACTGCTTGAGGCTGGTTACATTGGCCAATTATACTGTTTTATTACTTCCTTTTTCAGTAAGATTGGGCACCAAAAACACATCAATTAATTATGCTCCTGCTTTTTCTCAATAAAGAGCCTTTCAGGAACAAGATTAGATATGCTGAAATGTAATTTTAAATTACCCTTTTCAGTTCACTTCTCACTTCCAATGTGTGATGCATGGGGCACAGCTCCATTTGTTTGCTGTTCCTACCAGAGTTTGAAAACTCTGAAGAAAAGACAACCTACATTTTTAAAAACAACTTTCTAGAAATCTGTCACGGAGGAGAAACGCATTGGGTGGAAGGCGTTCAGTGGGTGCATACGAGAGGGAGCCAGAGGAGTAAAAAAATGGAATATTAAAGCAGAAGAAGGGACACAAAGCGTGGAAACACAGCAGCAAAGTCAAGTTAAGGAGAATGAGGCCTTGGGGCTGGAGAGTGCTCTTTCAGGCAGAGCCAAGGTAGGCTGGGATGAAACATAGAAACCAGGGTGTTATCCCGCTGCTGCACGATGAGACAGGGTTAATATGTGTCACTGCAGCCTAAAAGATTCTCACACTCCCACAAATATGGAAGCAAAAGCATTTACAGGAAAAGTGTACAGGACTGGTGTGGGCGTCACTGACGCTATTTGTGCTTCAGGAAGAAAAGAGGTCTTTCAAGCTCACGACCAAATTTTTTCTGCCCCTTCTGCAGTAAAGGTAGACTTATAATCAAACCAATCTAATATTATGGCAGTTATTATGATGGGATGAATTCAATATTTTGACTTTACCATGATGAGAAAAAGAATCAAATTTACTATCAGTAGCTGTTTGGGTTTTTTTTCTATAAACATTATCAAAAAGCAAAAAGTAAACATGTTTAATAAAAATGAGTGGTAAGACTGTCCCTGCTTGTCTAGAAAACGCAGCAAACTACTTTTCAAAGTAGCCACAGGGTCAGACAATAGACATTATAGTCTGAATTATTCTGCATTGTCATAAAAAAATGGAGCTGGGAACAATTTTGTGACAACTCCTTTGTAAAGATTCCGCAGTAGTTGATGGAGAAACAACAGGGGTTTCATCATTATTTTCCATAGTTCCTGGAAAAGCTGTAGTCATTCAGCCTGCAAATACCACAAATACATGCAAATGTGTGAGACACATGCATATACAAATATTCGGGTACAAGGTGGACAGCACTGACTGAAAGTTAAACCTGTGCGTTCTTGGACTTGAGCTTTCAAAGACCTCCCAAGGAGAACACGAATATTGTATCCTATGGACTGTCTCACCTGAAATTGGAAAGATACTGCTACACAGAGAAAAACATAACCTTTGCTCACAAACAAAAGACTAGCAGAATCCAAGTTTCATGCGATTCTCTAAGCTAGCCACAATTTCAGACACTAAATGTGCTAGGAATTAATTTTAGAGCAACACTAACAATTTCGTATTTGGTGTCAAAGCTTGTTTAATATTTTATCAACGATATCGCAGATACAAACTTTGACTTTCATCTAGTTCTGCTCATCTTTAGATGTTCTCATCAGTGTATGACCATAGTCTTTATAAAAACATGCCTATGCTAGCCAGATGAATGCAAAAATTCTTTCATCAAAACAACATGTTACATTGGAGTGCACAGGTGATAACAAAGCCTCTCCTAGTGACAGCAAAACATCTCAGAAATCCAGCCTGTTCATCCAAACATCATGTTGTACCATCCGTGAGTATATCTCAGTCTTAAAAATTTGACTGCTTACTTCAAAAATAACCCTACAATCTGATCTTTCTGTATATTAAACTCTTTGGTGAAACCCCTGTAACCAAAGACACAGAAACAGGGCAGACATTTTGAACACATGAAAACAACAGTGTGCCAATTCAAAATTTCCAGGAACATCATCATTTTAGCCTAAAAGTACCCTTTGTTGCTCCACATACAAAGCAGCAGAATGAATACAATAGAAGTAATATATTAAGCATCATAGAGATTCTCAATGTTCCATGAAGGCATTTAGTCACACTGAAAGGTAACATTTAGGTATTATCTTCTATGCTAATGATGCAGTATTACTCATTCATCAGTTCTTTCCAGAGATCTTGCTATGAATATTCAGCTTGTGATTACAATAACAAATTCAAGGCACTCTGCAGTACTTAGCTCTCTGGTATAGTAGTACCCCTGTCATACAGATTAACCAAAGTGAACATGGCTACAGTACCACGCATGTCACTCATAAGCACCAAGTGATGGGATAGATCAAGCTCGGTGGGGAGGATGCAAAGTGGCTTTAGAAACAGAAATGTCAACCAATTCCAAAATTTGAAATCTGTCAGAAGGGACATAACTACATATTCTTTCCTTGGACTCAAATATCATGAAGCTTGTGCCATCCATTCTCCTTGTGTATTAAGTTAAAGAATTGAAAGACTTCCCGATACGAAAATTTAAATCTGTGTGCAGCTCAAATCTGAATCTTTTCTGTGAATGTTTTGGTCCAGTGAAATTCTGCTAAACTGTTTTTATTAAGGACAGCTACTTAATGCTTGCATTTGCTGTGTTAGTCTGCAGTGGAGCTGATGTAGTGGTCACTGTAGAGGACAAGCTATGGAAGTAATGGTAAAAGTCACATGCAAAACAACTACCAACAGCATAAATAAAGCCACAGTTCTTTTCAGCGTTTGTGTTCAATTTCACAATCATAGACTTACATGTCACCAGTTGAATTACACATTCATTTGCAACTTTGTTATAACTGACAACTTTTTAAAATCAGATTTGCTTAAAAGGGGTCATAACACGGATATAGCTGAGAAGTATTTCTGGCCACACCACCAAGCAAAAGGGATATGTGCTAAGAGCACAACGTACTGCATGGGATGTCAAAACTGATATGTAACAGCAGTGGGAAAGACCAGCACTGACCAAAGCCATTCACACTGTGAGAAAGAGTATCCGGATAGCTCCTAGGAGGGAGTACAGCTGGTCCTACTGCTGCACAGAAGGCATTTCCAGCATGGAAGAAAGGAAGGAGAGGGTGTCTCTAGCGTTAGCTCATCTTTAGTAGTTCAGAGTAAGGAAGCAATATCCTTATTCCATCCATTTGTTAATTTTTTTTCTGAATGCTGCACTGGTTGAAAAGTAACTGGGAGGAATGGGAAGAGGAAAATGTAGACTCAGACACAAACAGAAGCTTTGGGCAATATGTTATATCATCCCAGGTACAATTTTTACTGTTGGATGATATTTCCTTGCTGTGGAGTTTCAGGGTCATGCAGTATCCTTTCCAGTAATTTCTGTTCTTCACTCATTTGTTAAGGAGGACCCTTTCCAGAGCTGTGGTTTGCACAGCGCTAGTGATCAGGTCAGTGTACCTTGGCTGGTGGGCAGAGAACATTGTCCTACATGCCAACTGATAGCAATCTCTCTTCCTCTTAATTTTGAATAAACTCAACTCATTTCCCAGTATACAATCAGACCACGTAAGTGGTACAGTTCTATGACATATGTCAAAGGCAAAACTACCCACTGGTCCAAAATTTAGACAACAGTGATCTAGGATACCTGTGCTGGCACTGACACACAATTCTTAAATGCAAAATTATCAGCTGGATGATCTTAACAGTGGTTCACCAAAACCCTTTTTTTCCAAAGAATTACACTGTTTACCTTCAGTCCGGTCCGGTAGTTTCCCACTTTTACTTGTTGTTCCTGTGTTGACTGTTTCAGATGAGGTGCTGAGTTTGGTGTTGGGGTCTCGCTTCGGTTTTGGAGGTGGTTGCTTACGAGAGCTGCTACTTTCATCATCAGTTCCTCCAACAGAATGAAGAGACTGGGATCTCACGGTAAAGCCACTGGAGCAAGGATGAGGCAGTCTGTCCTGAGGAGCCGGCATTGTCATAAATCCCATGCGGAAATGTTTCCCCACGTAGCTGCCTTCATTTCCTCTTGCTACTTCTCCACCTATGCTGTAAGAGAAAGTATAAATGTAAGTAAATGATCCACCTTTGCCTGAACTGTACCTGGAACCAGGGTCTCACTTCTGCCTCTGATGAGCAGATCCTACTTTTGAATTTGAGAACGAGCAATGCTCTTTTCTTAAAACAAGATGACTATGAGAGGTATATTTTTCAATATAGGCCAACAACTGAGATGCAGATATACTACTATGCACTGAAAACTTTACAAGAAGAAACTGAGAAAAGTTTTTGTCAGATTTCATACCATTGTGACTAGAAATTGTCTATAGAATAAATTTCAAACATCTGAAATCAGAACTGAATTTTCAGGAAGACAGGAGACTGTGAGTTGGGCAAAGAATAATGTTTTAGAAATACAACACTGTGTATTGATTCACACTCCCTGACACTCATCTTTGAGTACAGATACTCATGCAGCTTGGGAAACAAGGCTTTTGGGGTCCAATCAATCATTTCTCTTGATATTAGAGAATGGTAAAAATTACTTGGATATAGGAAACTGAACATTAACATCTCATGAAATCCATATAAAGCTGCAACACAAGCGGTTTCAGAGTATTAAGTTACAAATGTAGGAGATGAAAAGGCCACAGGCTGTGGGACACCAGCAAGAAAATAACCTCCAACCATTCAGAAGTGTAGGTATAGAAGAAGGAAATTTCAGTTGAAACAAGTGTCATCATACCAAATTTACTGTGGGTGGCAGAACTGAGAACCTGGTATTGTTCCTGCCCTACTCATGCAGGTTTATCAGTTCTGAAAAACAGCTCTTACTGGTGCTTATACTGTAAACCTACTACACATTTCAATTAAGGCAATTCAGTGACTATGTAAAGAAACTCAGCAACACACACAGGTCAGCATAGGCCTGTTTGCAACAAGGTTTGAAATGATGCCACTGTGGGCACATAGAAGTGTTAGTACAAGAACTGGTAAGTCCCAGAAAGCCCTGCTTAGCTCCTGTTTCCCCTTCACACAGAGTGAAGCTCTAAGCAGGGTCAGTGTGCTTCTCTGAAAGTTTCTTATTCCATGTTGCCTTGGGCTGGTGCCATTTATTTGGTGCTGGAATGCATTTCCTTTTTTAAAAACAAGAACATTTCTTAATAGTGTGAAGAGTACAAGCTGTATGTAATTGTCCTAAAAGCATCAGACTGGCAACAAGCAGTGCACAACTTTGTGCATGATAAAGTAGAACCTTTGTTTGCTTACTATTGTCCTTGCATTTTTATTCCATTTCCTCTCTGAGTGGAGATGTCCCCCTGAACAGGTCTAATTGATCATGTGCCACTCTCCAGGGGCACTGACACCTACCCACATGTGTAAACGTGCACACAGGCATGCCACATATATGCACACACTGGTCCCTGTTCATAACCAAGTTATTACCAAATCCTAATTGGCATCAATTCCAGAGGGATTTGCAAGCAGAAAGATCAAAAGGTAGAACTCATTAATTTGAATATTTATAAAAAAACTGTAGCTAGTTGAAATGATTAACTATGCCTCTACTAATCTTTCATAAATTGTTCTGAAAATAATATAATCCTCTGACACTGGACTACAAAAAGGGCCTGTCAAATTATTTAAAGAAGATTACTATCAAAAAATGCTGAAGGATGCAGGTGGGGAGTCTGTTTCCTGCCTTAAGTCCATTGGATAAATCACTTTTAGCAAATAAAATTTCATTTTGCCAAGTTTCCAGTATTAGAATTCTTAACGGGTTACACTATTTAATTAGTGCATTTACTTCACTGCAGTTTGAAGGTGTTTAAACCACACAGTGTAAGACAGATTCTGTTCCAGAATGACTTGCACAAATTCCACGAAGGTGACAGGTTTCATCCTTTCCCTAAGAATACACAGAACTGCATTTATATTAAGCACAAGGGTTTTTTTGCCAAACTGCTTCATCTTGTATTCCAGAAATAAAAACTTTCAAAATATGTCTGGTGTCTAAATGCACTGTCTTATTAAACAATTAAATCACGTCCTTTCTTTCCCTTCCCTCAATTTTTTTTCTTCTTTACTGAGTTCCTTTCAGTATCATGGATGCAAACCTCCTACCTGCTTCCTACACTTCCTCCACAATAAACAGCCCTATAGCCAGGTCAGAGAGAGGTTGCAGTTACAGACAGGGACAGAACTTTCTGTTCTGCTTCACAGTTGAAGTAGATCTGGTCTTGCTTTTTTACATCCTCTGCTCAGCTACTAGAAAAAGCAGCAGGACACCATTTCCCCCTTCTCAGCCACATTCAAAATAGAGTCCATTCTTCTTTGAGTGTAGGAGTCAACCTGCAGCTGATGGTTAAGCACTGTAAACCCCAAGCTGAAGAAGACTAGTCTCTAATTCTTGATTCAGGACCCTGGTCATTGACCAGGATCACAAAAGGCTTAGGTTTATTACTTACTCTGGTAGCAATCCCTGAGTGTTGGCAGCAGGTTTCTGAGCAGAGCCTGACTAGTACATGCCAGCCTCACACAAGGTGGAGTGCCAAGTTCACATCCCAGTATCACAGAATCAACTAGGTTAGAAAAGACCTCTGAGATCATCGAGCCCAACCTATGATCCAACACCGCCTTGCCAACCAGACCATGGCACTGAGAGCCACATCCAGTCTTTCCTTAAACACCTCCAGGGACAGTGCCTTCACCACTTCCCTGGGGAGCCCATTCCAGTGTCTAACCACTCTTTCTGTGTAGAACTTCTTCCTAATGTCTAAACTAAACCTCCCTTGGCACAGCTTAAGACTGTGTCCCCCAATACAGACCAAAATTCTCTGTGGTACAAAGAGAAAGGAATCACTTCAGACTCTTATCCAGAGCCAAAGTCCAAAATCAGGATGACAGATTTCAAACATGGCATCCCCTACCCTCAGGTAGCAACAAACTGAAGCTCCATTTAGACTTGTGCAATGCAAAATGCTGCTGATGTTACATCATGAAAACAGACAGAATTAAAGGATTTATTTATATACTCCTCCTGCTTGCAACCATAAGAATTGGCTGGGACCAGTGTATGTCCCACTACAGCACAAGCCAAGAAACCTTTACGCACACCTTGTTACATAAATGACTAAAGAGACAGTGAGAGAAAGTAATTGTGTAATCTCACTCCATTATTTCTGACAAGGAAGAGTCTGTGCTCCTCATTGTGCTGATAATGAGTTCTATCTCATTTCAAAATGGTATTAGGTGAGTTGCTGCAAGTATTACATAGTTTATTAATATATATGGAAATACAGATTTGGATTATACCTCTGGGAAGTTTCGATTCAAACTTGGTCAGGATCAACTGCTTCCCTGACAAAGAATTATGTACGGCATTCAAATAACTGTTAAAAATGCAAGATATTTGTCTCCAAAGAGAGACATGAATTATATAACAACAAAATTAATCATATGATCACTCACGTTACACACTTATATCAAAGCTGACTTTGTGCTGAAAAAGCACTTTCGTGTTTGCCAACGTTTAGTGACTGGTGCTGCAGTGAGTAGAGAAAAGGGTGCAATGAGGTTGGTTTCAGACACCCTTAAGAAGACTATTCTGAAGCATCTCTCCTTTCAAAACCACATTACAAGACTTTTCCAAAGCCTTCCTAAACAAGGCCAGTGTAGACCATTGAGTGCTGCCAGATTACATGCTCTCTTCCTGGGTGCACTGCAAGGTAAGCAAGCTTCCCATCCTTTTCCCTCTTCCACACAACACTGGAATTAAATCATTACAAAAATACCAATATTATTGGATCTGCCTTAAATCAGTAACAGTGGATTTCAGATTTCACTTTTAAAATACGAACAAGAGATCCAACTGATGGATCCGATGAGTCCTGTTACATCTCCAATACAGGTTTTGTCTGTCAGCTGAGATCAGCTGAGGTCAGAACTGGGCTGGCATTAAATCACACTGACCTTGCTGCTCCTACCTGTGTTATCAGCCTGCTGGCACATAGGCTGTAATCATGGCAGTCCTGGACACATCACAGCTCAGCTTCTGGTGCTCTGCCTGCTCTGTTCTACCATGTAGATATTGGAGCATTGACCTAACTACAGCAGAGAATAATGGAATTGTTTACATCTTTGAAGAACTACAAAGGAGAAATATTTTATATTATTCATTTTATTACACATCACAAAAGGGCAAGTTATAGAGGAAGACTAAACATTAAAAATGAACACAGTAAGTACTCTAAATGGACACAGTGTGGGCAAGGTCATGTCCACCTTGCTTTGTCATGAGTCATAGTGTTCCTATTGACTATGAATATATCTTTAAGTTAGAAAACTAACATAAATAAGTTTTCATCACATTGTTGAAAAATACGTAGCAAAGAAAAAGTACCCAGAGACTGACTGCCTCAGTCAGTGTGGTCTTTTTAGTTTACATTGTTCCTACTCAGCATTGAAAAACAAATTTAATTTGTTGTGCAGTTTCATTAATTGGTCCAAGCAGAAACCGAATTAATTCCTGGAAAAGAAATTAATAGTTGTACGAAAACTTTTGTTTTACTTGGTGTTACTTGTTTAACTATAAACAATGTGGAATATTAAATCCCTCAGTGCAGTTGTAAGGAGTAGAAATCTTGAGACTACCTAAGTTCCATAAAGTCAGAATACCCTAGAGGTACATTTTCCTCCCAGCCACCTATCTACTCTTGTTCTTGGAATTCATGCAAAAATTCTCTTATCAGTTCAGACTTACAATGGATTAGTTTCATGCCTCAGGCACCAAGAACCGTTTGGTAGTTCCCCTCATCTTTGTACAGTTTCTATTTTTCTTCCTGTGCTTCTTTACGTGAAATTTTCTGGCTTTTTAGCTACAAGTTCAAAACAGGAGTTACACCTGACTATGAGACTTGACCTCTTAAGCAGGAGGAGGGGGAATGTCCTCTGCTGAGGACATGGTATCTTTGAAGGTATTTTGCCATTCTTTGCTGTGATACACACCAATCAGGGACCACAAAAGGTCACCATCCTTCTAAATGTTA